GATGGAGTAACTGACTTGTTGGAAAAGTCATCAGATCTTTTATTATGTTGGATTGCATTTGTAGTCATAGGCGGCTTATTTAGCCTGATTTGGCCTATGGAGTCTAATATGAGCGGAAAAGATGCCATCTTTGAGCTTTAGTGGATTTTTTGTAACATGCACTTGAGTCTAGCTTGTTGTTTGCGGGTAAACATTATAAACCCAACTGTGTGTGTCTTGTTGCCTCAAGTTTGGTCGACGATCTATTCTCATCAAACTTGATAGATGAGTCCATATTGAGCTTGATTTGGCGAACTGGTGCTAAGCCTACTTTGTCGAGCTTATCCCTTTGTCATCGTTTTAGGCGAGTTCGCCACAAAAGTGTGTAAATGCCCTTTAGGTATCGAAGTTTACAGTAAAGCTAAGCACAAAAAGCATTCTCTGTCAAAGTTTTGAGAAAAATAGGCTAAATTCTGAATTGACTCAATGACCTTTCCCTTTGCTTTCATTCCATTAAATCATAATCTTACAATCTATTTTAGGTACAAAATATTATGTATAATCTATTTTAGGTAGCCTAATAATACATATTCCTAATCTAAATATTCAACTAAAAGAGAAATAAATGATAATAAAAACATTAGAAATAATTTAAATAAGAAAGTTTCTAATTATAGAAAACTCCTAATTTAGTTGTCGGATTTCCGTCCTTTCTGATTGACATCCCACCTCAAATCGATGTTGAATGATCAAGAAATATCAATATGCCAACAAGAAACTGATAAAATCCCCCCTCAAATTGATAATAAAGACATTGAAAATAATTTAAATAAGGAAGTTTCTAATTCTAGAAAACTCCTAATTTAGTTGTCTGATTTCCGTCCTATCTGATTGACATCCACCCTCAAATTGATGATGAATGATCAAGAAACATCAATATGCCAACAAGCAACTGATAAAATTGTTAGGACCAAAAATCCTCAAGCAGAGAGTGCTGGGGCCGAAAGTGCCGAAGCTTGAGAGTGCCGAAGCCTGAGAGTGTCGAAACCCAAGAGTGCCAACTTGAAATCAATATCTTTTCTTTTATTTTTAAAATTTATGCATATACATAAAAATAATTTTTATGGTATATATATTATCTCTAAATTTCCTAATTTATCAAAACTATTTAATTCAACCGTTACCTTAAAAATATGCAATTAGAGGTGTGTTGTATGTATATATGTGTGTGTATATATATATATATATATATATTTGTGTGTGTGTATGTCCGTGTTAAAAATATGCAATTAGAGGTGTGCTTCAACGTAATTTATAAATGCACTATGATACATCTAAGTGGGGCTAAAAGGCACCTTTGTGAAATTTTGAAAAGGTAGAAGCCTCAAAAGCTCCAATTGAGGTAATTTAAATATGTCAATTTATGAATTTAATATATTTAATTAATTTTTGTTATTTATCCACACCTAAACCTAAGCAAACCGAACCAAGAATCTACCACAACTCTCAAACTCCCAACCACACACTACACTTGAAGAATTGAGATATAAAGGACATTTTTTAATCACAATAAGCCAAAGATATAATTGCAAAATATTGCTCCATTAACTTTTAACACTTCTCAAGCTATTAAATTAATTTAAGGTTACCATACAACTTTAGAAATTGAAATTAAAAAAAATCAATATCTTTAAAATTTGATTTATGTTATTGTTAACATTGGTTTAATTAGGAAAGAGGAAGATAGTTGAGATCGGAGATAAAGAGGAAGATTAGGAGTATATTAACACAGATGAGGAAGAGGAAAGAGAGGAAACAGTTGAGCATAATGAAAATTTTAATGATAAAACCTCAAGTGATGAAAGTGGGAGAACTTACAAATTCATAAATTATAATCCTAGAATTTTAGACTACTTTTTTAAATTGTATTGAGAGTGGGAGAGATTTATATTATTGATTTATGATCATACTTTGAAGTTGGTATGTTTACTTATAAAATCATAAATGACTTGAGCATATTGTATAAAAAATGATCTTAATCTATTAGAATTAAAAGAAAATATGTCACTTAATAGGACGCAATGGAGAAAAAGGATTCATGCAGCTAACCAGCCGGGCAAAAAGGCTTGTTGTTATTGTTTTTATTGTATGGTCATATTTTGATGTTAGTATATTACTAATTATATTATATTTTCATTAATTTAACAGTTTACTTTTATGGCTTACTGCTTAAAACACCTTGAGGATTGCATCTTATAACATTATAAATATTGAGTATTTTGACACAGCATGATGTTGGTATGTTTACTAATTCTATTATATATTCACTATCTCTCCTCTTTACAATTAAAGGTCAAATACAATATATGTAAGTTAGGGCAAACATCATTGGGAGTTTTCTTCCTAGATTTTATGCCAAGTCCCTGTGTTGTCCCACTCGAGTTATTTCATTTTGATGTTTGGGGTTTGAGTAATGTCCTTACCCACCTACGATTTTGGTAATTTTTTCATTTTTGTTGATCATTACTAGGCGTGTAAATGAGCCAAGTCGACTCGTTAACGAGCTCATGAGCCGAGCTTATCAAGCCACATAATAGAGATAGAGCTCGCCCCGACTCTTCTTGTTGGCTAACGAGCCAACTCGATTAGCCTACTGCCATTCATTTCTATATATTTCTGGTGAGCTGCTGTTGCATCCTCCTCATGACACCAATACCTTCTTCAATGAGCTCCCGCAAAAATTGAATTTTTAGTTCGAACTCGCAAGCCAACTGCTACCACTATGAGATGAACGCGAGCTCGCCTCAAACTCAAACCCAAGCTCACAATTTAACAGACGAGCAGAGCTCAAAAATGGCATGGCTCGAGCTCGACTCAATTATACCCCTAATCATCACTCTCAATCACATGAATGTCTATTCAATTTGAATTCTTTTAGTATTTTCTCACCTTTTACTGTATTCCACATCTTCTATCAAGAAATAAATGTGCTTTTCAACTATGAATAAATCTATTGGTACTAATAATACTTGAGAGTTTATGTGGTTCTAGTTTAACTCATTTTCTACTGCAAATGATAACATATAATAAACACTTCGTGCTTCTATATGTTGAATGTCTCACAAGGGGTTCTTGAACATATATATCGTCAACATTGAACATATCTCGAATCATGATATTCATGATATTCCTTATAAACCATGGGGTGATTATAATATAAATCCAAAAAAGGAAGTTATGTTTACATGATGCATAAAGTATTGGTAATTGGAAAAAGACTAGTGGGTGCTCCGAGTGACGGCTTTTTTGATAAGCATTCGATTTTCATGGGTTTGTGAAACCATCCCAAATATATCAAAAGACTAACTATTAAAAAGAAATAAATAAATATAAAAGCATTACAATAGTGACATATGGGTCATTCATAAATGAATAAATATAATATGCTGCAAATAAATATTTTGACATGTGGGCGAAATGATCATCAAAGTGAGAATGAATTTTTATGAATTGTACTACATAAGCACCATTAAATAGTTATCATATTTAAAAATAATGTATTTTATATGCTGACTATAACTATTATGATATAAAATCTATTTTTACTTCTTTTGCTTTCATTGATCATATTAATGCCCTAAGCATTGCCATTTTATACATTGATAAGTAGGAAACGAGTTTATTTCTTACAAGCTCATACAATATATTATAATTTTTCAGGTTATTAGTTGTGCAAAATATAAAGAAGAGTTTCTATACTCATGCTTGATGTATATCATTGAATTGTGATTAGGATTGGAAGTTATAAAGTTGATTCAATAGTAATTTATTATTTGAATGAGTTACCATAAGGTTGGATTTTATTTATGTTTTGGTGGATAAACTAGTGAGTACTATTGGATTTAAATGCTTTCATAATCTATTGATGGAGAATGTTTTTTGCAAATAAATATTTACATATTGGAATTCCTTCTAAATTTATTAACTCCATGTGTCATATTGAGTTCCAGCGATTTCCTTCTAGGCATGGCAGGCGAAGTGTGACATGATGTAATGTTACATGCTAACATTTTAATCATATCTCATCTAACATCTTTGGCGATGTCACCTCCTCTCCAACTTGAGTTTTAGGTTATGTTTGCTTTGTACATGACTCCTGGATTGGATCCTCTGGCCATTCAATATATCTTTCTGGGAAATTCATTCTCAGAACAGCTATCATTATTATGACTTGACTATCAAACAAGTCTATACTTTAAGAGATGATACTTCTCACAAGTCATCTCCGTACTTTTCTCCACCTCTCAAAACATCCTCTCCACTTATCTTAAATTTCCTTTTGTCAGCTTTTCCTTTGGCTTTTGGCATTTTGTCGTGTCTTTGTATGCCAATTTCTATTCATAGAGCACGTTAGGAGGCACCATTCATGTTTTCATGAAAGCATAAAACATAGTAAGGTTGATCGCTACTCTATTCAGGTGTCGATATCAAATATAATAGTCACAATTCATAGATGGATATATTACCTTCTTCATGTTTTACAATAATATGTAGCTAATTTATACATATGCTTGCTAATTCAAATATATTCTCCAACCTAAAGAAGAGTATTAGCGTAGAATATATTGACTAAGAGATATACTCAAATAATAATATTAGTGAACTATATTTATTTATTTATACTTCGACAGATCCTATTAATTCATTTATTATAAGCATAGGGGGTTTCTATCAAATAATACACACACAAAAGAGATTTCTCCTCCAAATACATACAAAAAAAAAAAACTCAAAAAGAGGAAAAAACACATGCAAAGCAGAGTATGAATGTATATTAAAATGTACTACATGTGTATTCTAATCATGAAAAAAAGGCAAGCCTTGAAAAGCATATATTGATAATTTATGGCTATAAAATGGACAAAAAATGTCATCGCCACTTCTAAAATAAGAAAATCAAAACCATGCTAAAACAATTGAAGGAGAGAAAAAAAAATTAAGGAAGCATTTAGCTAACATACCAATGCTGCAACCCGAATGTTTAGTCCCCTTCTGCTCATTGCTTCTTCTAAACATTGCGCAACATCTTTTCCAATCTACATTCCGAGTTAAAAGTTAGTTTCTTCCTTCTTATGAGTTAAGGATGTATAAAAACAAAATCATTTAAGTCAAAACTTATTATACAAGCTTAATATTTGGACTATCGGTAATACCCACTACAGCAAGTATGTGTACAAAGCATATCAAAAGCAAATGTGAGAAAAATATTCATATCCTGGAGTTACAGAATCTCATTGTGGAAAGGAAAGATGCAGATTGCTAGAAAACTCCAAGTATAACTATCAAATGTGAAGGAAATGTTCTCCAAGTTAATTTGATGGATTTTTTTTTCAGAAACAAAACTTTCTATACATCACAAAACCACAAGAATGAAAGAGATAGAAGACTGATATAAAGTGGGTAAAAAGTTGTTAAGCTGTAAAAGTTAGTACATTGACACATTTGTTTTCTAAGATATTAGAAAAATGCAAGGAAAGCAACAAAAAGTAAACCAACATAACAAAGAAGATCATAAAAAAATTACGAATTCAAAGGATGATAATTATTACAAAACTTCCTGACCTAGCATCTTCCTTTCAGGCAAGTGTGTTGATTAAGTAAATGGATGGTAAGTCTAGTACATATCTCCAGAAGTGACATGGTAAAAATAGTCAGAAAAGAGTGGTAATTGAATGGGTCAATGGAAGTACTTACTATAAGAAAGTATATTTTACAAGTGGAAACATTCAAATGCAAGTGAATTGTGAGCAAATACAGTAATGGCATAAATAGCAATTAAACGGAGAATAAGGGTTAATAATGGTACTTAAAGATATGGAAAACATTCAATTGGTGCCTCAAATATTAACTACCCTAATTGTATTAGCTTATTGCCTGACATCATCCTCAAACTGGTATAAGATATTTTTCTAGAATAGGAATTAAAAATGTTCTTCTATAAGTTTATCATACAAAGTCATCAACTGCATCACTATCAAATGAATTAATGAGAGATACTTTCATTTGAAATTTATTCCAAAAGAGTTGACACAAACCTTTGTTAGCTAAAAATGTCAATGTTTAGCTTTATTTCCAACTCATGAAAAGCATTGCCCCATGACTGATTTCACTAATTCAGAATACATCTTAATTACCCGAGGGCATTTATTAGTAGCAGAATCAAACAAGGAAATAATTTCAAACTCCAGCATGCATTACACAACTACAAATTAAAATCTCAAAAAAACTGCAGATCATCATTTTTTACACCAAACACAATAAACAGTTGAAAAATGGACTTTTTATTGATAAAGGTTACCCTGTTTTAAAAAACAGCACTGTAGCATAATAAGCCATAAATAATAACTATAGCCACAGCAATTGACTTCAATATCAAATACAAACCAATGATAAATTTCTAAGAAAATCTAAATATACAAATTTAACTTACAGCATCTTCAATAGAAAATCCTTTTGTCCATCTGATAAGAATGCCTGAAGAAACTGAAATTTGTCTAACAGGAAAAGGAAAAGTAAATCCAAGCTCCCTTGTCAAATTAGGTGAATGCTCGAACCCTTCAACTCTTTCTACAAACTTTTGCAGCGTCATAGCAATAAAATCAAATAGTTCCTGCATCATTAGTTGATGGAAATAATTTTCAGATAAGCACATTGTATCACGAGAAAAAAGATTCAGTTAGAACCTACTGCTCAATTACCTCAGCTGTGCCCATCATCAGATACGGGGAAATTGGATGGCTTTCAAATTGATGACTGAAAATCTTGGAGGATGCTCCTCCAAGCTCTACACGTAATACTCTAAGATTGGTGGCTCCAAGATCAAGAGAATAGTAAGTTCCCAACTCTTTCCTGCACGAAGAAGTGAAGCATCATAAGTGTAATATTGATTTCCTTGAACAAGCAAATACAAAATTATCGATTAGAATGAAATGCAAAATCATATGGCTTTATTGTAGGAAATGGGATTACAATGCAATGGCCCAATAAGAGTGGATTGACAGTAAAATTATACTTGCTTTTGTTTCAATTATCAACTTATTATTACACAATCAGAGTGCTGACAATATTAACATTGCAAGGAAAAATTGAAGATTAAAGCAAGATAAAAGCCTAATTTATTACAAATTTAAACTAAATAATTTGTCTATACTAAACAAATTAACTTGGGTGTTCCCAAGGAAAGCTTAGTTCACAAACAGCTCTAGGATCTTAAATCCTAAATAAAAATTAAAAAATAAAAAAGAACTTTTACGTTTTTCATTCCACACAAAAAGTAAAACTGAAGCCCAATAACGTTAACAAGTAGCCAAAAAAGTAAATTTCTTATGTTATTCAAAGCATGATAAAAACATAGCCTTACATTGGAAATATATGGCATCTAAACATTCATCAGAAATAAATAAGAATGGGCATATAATGATGCAGAAAGCAACCGGCTCAATTTTGATTGGCCCCAACAGAGAATACATCGAAAAAAATTGGATTTTTATTCTTCACAGCAATTTCCTGAAGCTTCCTATACATCTGAATCATCTTGAAAGTACACCAACGTACCAACAAGATGCTTGCATCAAAGACAGCAACAATGGAAAATCGCCAGAAAGCAAAAGATTCCCAAACAAGAAACAATTAAAAAATTCATTACTAAACCCTAAATGCAGCCACCCTAGAAGAATATAAGCAATATGATCCCCAAATGAACAGAAAAAACTACGCTGTGCTGGCAAGAAACTTTACATACCAGAAAACATACCATTTGTGAATACAATCATAACAATGTATCGATACAAATGGAGGAAAATATCAACGAACGAGGCATCGTAGAACCAAAATGAACAAAGCCCGGGTACTGTCAAACTTCCAAGCTGTCAAACGTTGCCTTAAATATACTTTCAATAAATTACTGCTGTAACCTCACAACCACTTTCCAGATATAAAACACATTCAACAATGCTCTATGAATAATATAAAAACAAATCATTGGATAGAAACCAGTAAAGCTTTCCAATCACATAAAATGATCAAAACAAGTTTTTCCACCACACCAAACCCAACTCCAATTTCACAATAAGCCATCAGGAAAGACAAAATCCAGCACCGCGAGCATTCAAAGGCCCCACCCTTCATTAAATGATCATCAACTCAAGAAACCCAAAATATTCAAAAAGAAAAAAAGGGTAGGGCTAAAAAGAAACCACCATACCCATACGGAAGGCTATCTATGAAAGTGAGAAGCATCTTGAGCTTGCTACCCCCTTCCGATGCGAGACCAGCGTTCATCTCGACGGCCATGGCGTCGACCACCTGCCTTAGCCGCCCGATCGAAGTAGAGCATCCCTCCTCAAACTCCCGAACCACTTCCACCGCCCTTCCCCACCGCCGCCGGCTCCTCCCTCGTCTTCCAACCAATATAACCGCGATCGCGCAAGAAACCACCGCACATCCCACCGCAACACCAAAACCCACTCTTCCCATCAACCCCTTCCCCCCTCCTTCGATTCCCATCACGACATCAAACCATCGACGGCTCGGCTCACCTCATCCCTACCTCCTCCAGTCGATAGATAGGGTCTCTGGCGACCTCGGTGGAGCGGCGGGAAACTTCCGCCGGTTCCCGCGAAGTGTTCGACGTCGAGCAGAGGTGAGAAAAAATGTTAACGGACGAGAGAAGCAAAGCCGAAAAGGAGAAATAAACGGGAGAGGAGGGAGCGTGGGGTGCGCTTTGCTCTTTATTAAGAGAGGCCTGGTTAGCCAAGTAGTGTGCTTACCCAGTGCCTAGCTTTTCAAAATACATTAAATGACGGATTTATCCCCAGATCGTGAATAAATGACCGCCGCACCACCATGGTTTGACTTGTGTCGGTTGGCTCCGAAAGTGACACCCGCGCTTTTCATTGCCCCAGCCGCATAATCTGAGCCGTCGGGCCCTTTGCCATAACGGATGGGGCAAGTTACGATGCGCCACGCATTGGTTTTGCTATTACAATTATGGGGCCGTTTGGGTTTTCTCCTAAAAGAGTACAATTAGAATGTTTTGAAGTTGTATAGGTTCATGTAAAATAAATGTGAGATTTTTTTTTTAATATCAAGGAAATTAATGTATGATACATGGTCGATTGGTGGCAGCGGCGGACACAACGATCAATAGATGATAGTGGTGGGTGGTGGGTGGTGTTCGGCTTGTAATGGGGTATGGGCGGGGAACCGTGAGGTGTGGCTGGATGACATGAGTGTTGTATTCAAATTTGTCTGGGAGGCACACCTAAAAATTCGAGCATTTGAACCAAGAGAAAAAAAGAGAAAGAGTGGGAAAGAGAGAAAAGAGAGCAGATGATTTCATAGTGACCTGCCCCTCTTAGCAAAATGGGGTATTCCCGAGTTGCTATGACCTTTTGTTATATGTTTGAATTTCTTATACATGGAGAGGGTGAAGAGCCTAAAGTCTCTTTTTATATATGAGAGAAGAGAGAGGCAAAATGTTCTATTACATTAGTAGACCCCTCTATTTATTGCAGAGAGTTAGCAGTGAATGAAAATTGCATTTACAACCCGTTTTATTGGGGGGCGTACAATTATAATAGTAATTAAACCCATGTGGAGCCAGGGTTTTACCGTTCTCTAGCTCTGTTGACTGGGGCCAAAGAGGTGACTGGATCAGTACTGTTAGTAGGCCTTTTGAATGGAGACTGTCGGTCGGTTGGCCCTTCACGTATATTCGACCGATAGGATTCTTGGAGGTAGGTGGGAAGATGGCTCTATCAGGCTGATGTTGGTTGACCAGATGATTTTAAGTTGGTTGTCATTCCTCGATTTTAGCCATGGGAACTCTTGTCAGTTGAGAAGACTGTACCCTCGAGTAAATGTACCCTTGAGCAGAGGAAGCCATCTGGGTGTGTATCATTTGGTCAGTTCAGATGAATACATGCTAGCATGAGTCGGACGGCTTTCCTGGGTCCCCAAGTCACTTTCTGGTGGGTCAGATTTGTCATGTCATTTTTTCTTGGGTCAACAGATTGTCTTGAGATTCGTGTTGACACATTTCTTGTGTATATATTTTGTTCTCCGATTCTTTTATTTTTTGAAAGTGATAGTTGTGATAAAAAAAGAGGATTTAATGCAAAGAGTGAAAAATATTTAAGATTACTTAATAACACAATAATTGAACTCCACTTGAATCCCGTGCCTCGTGATTTCTATAAATATGAAGTAAGGGGTTTATTTTTTATATTCCTTTAGTTTACTTCAACCAATTTATCTGAGCTTCAGTCACCAGCATGGTGAAAGAGTCACCCTCCAAGTCTGGTAAGTACATCAAGGCCGCCTACTGAGAGGTTTCCAAAGATATGAGGCAGGAGAGTGAAGCTTGCCCGGAAGGGGAGTGGAGACGAAAAGTATTTGCAAAGAAGCAGAAGAGACCCGGCTAGAGAATTATGTGTGGTTATTAGACTTGCTACTTGGTCTTCCTATTGAGATGATGCGGGTAGAGAAAAATCAGCCGAGAGAGGGAGCATATGAGAAGAAAAGTCGTCCTGATGAAACATCCCAAATAGAGGAGAGTGGTCATCTGAAGAAATAACTGATCGGTTCGTTAGCTCCTGATCAGACTTTCGTGCTTCCATCCAGGGCAGCAGCGTTAGAAGTTGTTGGTGCTTGGGCACCATTAGGGGTGTTGAAAGTAGCTGCTAGGGGGATCGTGTGAGAGGTTGTTGGTGTCTTGATGTCGTTGGGTGTGCAGGGTGTTGTTGGCCTTCCTCCTTTATTTATATGATATAAGGCTGGCGAGGAAGGTTTCTCTCTCACCACTTTTGAGTTGGATCAATTGGGTAGGAAGTGTGTTTGTTGGGCGACTTTTCTTGTTCTGAATCTTGCTTCAAATTATTTTTTGATGCAGACGAACCAATCACCAGAGTGTTGTCCATTGAACCCACAAGGACTGATTTAACTCTTAACACTAGAATTAGATAACAAACCTCTATTTTAAAAAGACACTTACTCAAACTATAAATATTATCACATGAATGAAAGTTCAACTCTTTTTAGATATTTGTGATAATTGAAAATAAAATAACAACTAACTAAATACAACTTGAGTTTTTGTAAGAACTTGAGTTTTTGTAAGATAAAAGCACTAAATATAAAATATTTTCTTCCTTATTATGAATTAGTAACAAGTATAGGAATTCTATTGTGGAAGTCAAATTTTGTTGTGGAAGTATTCAAATTGTGTTGTGGAGATATTGTCTACACTAAAATGCACCTTACAATATTATTTTTTACTTTTACTAGAGATATTATAAAGAACATTAGCAAATTTAAAGTTTGAATAGTTTTAGAGATCGATTAGGTAGAGAAGATACCATCTCTCACTCTAGAGTTCTGTATTTTCCCTCCACCTAGGGGCGAACATCTCGTATCAAAACCTAAAACAATAAACCAAATTGGGGTAACTCTAAAGTCCTCTAACTCTACACCCTTCAAAGTTTATTTCTCTATTTATTTGCACTCAATCATACGAATTACATTCTCATCCATGCAAACTCATGTGATTCTTACCAATTGTTGACTGATTTGACTGAGACAATACTATCACAGATCTTATATGTTCTCACAACAAAGTCTAACAACTTGATTAACCAAATTAAGAAGTAAATGAAGTACGTGGATTTAAATCATCACGACTTATTCCAACATTAAAGATCAAGATATTCCACAACTTTCATCCAAAACTTTACTTATTTATCATTTTAAGGAAAAAAATAAGGAAAACTACTCAGAATTCATGGAGAAAATACAACCACAATCTAGTTTAAAAGTAGAAATCATTGTCAAACCAAGAAGAAGTCTAAATTAAAACCAAATGTAATAACAAAAGATGGAAACTTCTCCACCAAACTCTTGAAGTTCCTTTGAATCTCTTCTTCTCTTACAACACTCTTAACTCTCAAAATAAAAACTAAAAAAAAAGGAAAAGGTAAATGAAAATGGCATCTAACATTCTCTCCTAAAACACAGAGAAGAGTATCCATTGAGCAGCAATGAAAAGACTAGAAGAGCCCTTAATCCACTCCAACTCCCTCTTTTTATTATTTTCCAAGAGGTGTCTTGGTATCTCTTCAAAATATGTTAATATTCGATGAATTTCTCCAAGAGATGTTTCCTTTCAAAAGTCCTTTTAATATATTTTCGTCCCTAGCGGTTATAACCATCATTTTTTGTTACTATGTGCCTCAAAAACTTTTTCAAAATTCGTCAAAATTCATTAAACCGTCAAATAACTGTCACTGACGCTTAAACGTGAAGTCCCCGACGCTTAGGCGTGGCCTTCTCTGTATTGATGGCGCATAAGCGTCAGATTTTTGCTCCAATTTTGATACTTGACTGTGACTTTATATATGCTTAAAAATATAAGCACATTTTTATTATTTTTGCTCCAATTTTGATACTTGACTGCGACTTTATATATGCTTAAAAATATAAGTATTTACTACTGCTGCTAAGAGAATTAATTCCTCAACAACTGTACCAAAACTTAATAACACTTATAGATTTGATAAATATAGATGTAATAAATATTCAATAATTGTAAAGTCACACTTATCAACACAAGTATACGTATTTCTCAAGTAATATAAGGCTCTAAAGGAGTCCTAGATATCGATCCCATAGAGAGTAATATTAGAACTACAAACTAAGATTTTAGAAAAGCAATACTTTAATTGCAACAACGAAGTTCAATTTGCTT